TAAATGAATGCTGTTCTTACAGGAACTTAAAAATATCACATACATGGAGATTATTAATGAAAACATATAAATGCGCACTTTTGTGGGCATTTATTTTAAGTGTTGTTTGTAAGGAAATGCACTGTGCATTATTTATATATAAACGTGTATATATATACCATTCAACACAATACATTAACTGTGGAGAATTGTGTTGTATTGAATTATTAAATCATAAGAAATCACATAAAAATAGATTCCTTCTTGGGTTATTATTTATGTATAAATATTTTTTCTTTTTTTTTTTTTCAAATGAACTTAATGGCACACATATATGTGAGCACATATATACATATATATTTGGTGGACTAAAGTTTATGCCTCAAATGTGAAAAAAGTAATGGGTGAAGGAATAATCATAGTAATAGTCATAATAATAATAGTAATAATAATAGTGATAGAAACAAAAAAAGAAAAAGAACGAAAATATTACTAGTAACAGCCTCTTACACAAAAACATAGATATATATGAAATTAACAACTGGCCGCCGTGGATATTTTGTTCTCACATTGTTTACATGACTAATGAAACATATTAGACGCACCATTTTAAACAACAACAAAAAAAAAAACAAATTATAAAAACACAAAACAACGGACAACAGAACAGGGGAATGCAAAAAAATTATAAAATAAAAATATATGAGACATATAGAAAAAGTTGTGTTTCTTATTGCTTCCATGTGGAGCAACTGGGGAAAGAGTACAGTCTTTGTTTTTGCAAGGGTTACGGGACTTAATAAAAGAATTAAATATATATATACAATTGTAGTGAATATTTTTTTTTTTTTTGAAGGGAAAAAAAAAAAAAAAAGGAAGACGTTATAGTATTAAATTTATAGGTTGCAACAACACAGAAGCAGAAACGTGGAAAAGGAAAAAAAAAAAAAAAAGAACGAAAAAGGAAAGTGAGAAAAATGGAAAAAGGGAAAATCATTTTGTGCGAAGTGAAAAATCCTTTTATTAAAAATTAAAATAAACATCTAAGGAAAATTGGCACAAAGAACTACATTATTGTATTCTTCTGTACCGCGAAAAAATGAGAATGTACGAACAGTGAATTTTTATTGTTATGCTGGAAGTGTATATATGCCCCCGAAAAAAAAAAGAAAAAAACGCACAAGTTAGAAAAAACACAGCCCGGTACAATGTTATCATGACCCTTGACTTTCTGCAACGTCCTTTTTTTCAACTTATGCGAATATTATTGATTAGGAGTAGTGTGAAATGCAAGAATAGAAAGTAGTTTCCTCACGTTCATTAGGTGTAGGCAACCATGTAAGTGTAGCATATATGTGTACATAATTATATTTTGCGCGTGAATTATTTTGAACGGTGAGAAAAAGGACACATTGCCATTTTGGAGGTGTGGGATCTCATGATTCAAGTGGAAGCAAAAGTGAAAAACGCGACACTCTTGCTGTGTGTGTGGCTGCGGCGGTTTCTGCCTAGGGAAAGGGTGAAATTATGGCACACCATCTATTTTTCCATTGCGCTTAAGTTGTTACGTATGCCACTTTAAAATATGCTAAAGGACGTAGCGCATGGAAACTCCACCCTCCATTTATCCATTTTCCTTCCGTAGTACAATATGGTCCAGTATTTCCTGTATTGGGAAATTTTCCATGTTCACGTTATTCATCGGCTACATTCGGTAACTTCGATTAGCCAAGGTAGCCACAAGCTTCCCTTCCCCGTACACACTTTCACTGTGTTCGTCCAGTACATATGATGGCGGGGCATAGCTCATTATGCCGGCAAATATGGCATGCTATTTTTTCGTGGAAACCTATCACATATATTGACTTTCACAATTTGTAACATATCCTCCTTTTTTTAAGCATATCAGAGGTAAGGTGTAAAACCGTTTCATTTGGCAATGTGGAAGTTTATAGAGAAGCAGAAAGGAAGCATCAATACGGAAGGAAACAAGAAAGGGAAAATGTGTTACATATTATAAGAATAGGCACTGTATGAATTAACTACGATGGACATTGTGTACTATATATGTTACACATATAGGATGTAACAAATAATTATTCGTTATATATGCATATATTTATATATACAGCATAAGAGAAGGACGCATCCTTTTTTTTTTTCTGAATTGCTTTGTTCTTTTGTCATGCCTATGGACGAAATGATTACAGAAACAAAACAGAACTATATATACACGGAATATTCCTATTAGGAAAAATTTAAATCATATTATAATGTAGAAAGCGGAAATATACCTTAAATGGAATAAAAAATCATATGCCATATCATACAAAATGTGTACAATATCATTATGAGGGTCAATCTAAGAAAATATGTACAAGCATACCATAACAGTGACGTTGCCTACCCAGAAGTGCAATACAGGAAGTTACTTATGGTTTCTTAGGTGCCTCCGGTTTGTGATCTTGTTCTAATGAGATTTTGGTCTTTCAAAATTTTCTTCGGCACTGTGGCCTTCGCTTTCGGTAGCAGCATCGGAATAACCCAAGTGAGCACATACTGAGTATACCCATGCCACCTGCAGTGGAGGCTATGGCAATCCCAATTGCACACACAAGGTTTTTCCAAGTTCCAAGGGCAGCTACCACCGCAGTTAACGCCCCAAGTGGAAACTCAAGTACACCCCAAAGGAAACCTCCAACAGCAACCAATATTATAGTATAAACCAAAATAGCCACAACGAAGAACTTGCAGTACCTATATAGAATATATGCAGCCAATTTCCGTCTACTAAAGTCTCTTCCGGTTTTGACGTTAACTGCCTTATTCTTCTTGCCATGCTTTGTGCTTGCGGTCGTTCCTGTAAATTAGGCGTGTGGAATATGATTCGATGAATATTCTATCTCCCGAACGAGGCGTTTTTTCGGGGGAAACATCTCAACATACAACTTTCGACAAAATTTGTATTTTTTCTCCTCGTCCTGTTTGCACATCCGTTTTACCTGTACCCGAAGATCCTTGCGGCTCCTGTTTCGTTTTTGCACTTTGTCCTTTATTTTGTAGGGATGGTGGCAATGAGGACCCTGATCCAACCTTCGACAGGGATGTGCTACACGTTGCAACTGCCTCGGTGACTGCTACATCAGCAGATAATGTGTCGTTGCTATCGACTTCTTCTTCCCGTTCATCATGTGTTATTTTGCACTTTCTTTCATAATGCACTTGTTGTGGTATCTCGTACTCCACCACTTTCCGTTCTTTTAGAATAGTTCCATCTTCCTCTTCCTCCCATTGTGCGTAAGAAAATATTCGTTTCGGGGAAAATGCATAGTCTGCTTCATAAGGTTCGTCGATATCGTCGTAGGCATCTTCATAGGCTCCTTCATAGGTTGGTGTGGCATCGTCATAGTGTTCGAATGCCATCGGATATAATTCAAGCTCATCTTCTGATGCAATTGCTTTAATTTTTGCTAAACTGCGGGCACCTCTGGTATACACGTGCACTTTAGCCGCATGTTCTGCGTGTCTGTCGAAGTTATCTGGATGCTGTGGAAAGCGGAAGCGAAGAGGAGTGGTGATGAGTTGAATGGATAATAGAATGGCAATATAGCCAGTCGCAGTGCAGGGAACGTAGAAGGGGAAGCATAAATATACATATAAATATTGGGTATGTTGCCTACGGCATATATACAACCAATTCCCCAAACTTCCCATTCTCGGCATACATTTATATGTGATCATGTAATCATTCATTTGCAGTAGGCTTACCTTTAAAAAGATGCAAGAAACAACAAAAAACAAGATGATTGGTGCTCTTTTGGAGAAAAAGGACCTGTGTGCCTTTTTTCCATTGATTTCACCTTCATCATTACCTGCGGAATATGCTTTGCCATTTCGGGATTTGGACGCTCCTTGTGGAAAGTTGCTTGTCGATGTTTGTTTTTTGTTCGAGTGTGCCATGTTGCTGTGGATACTTATATAAAAAGGAAATGTACAACGGTAGTGTGCTTTTCGCTTTTCTTTTTTTAATTACGCTACATGTAGAAGGAAAGTATGCTAAGATAAGAAAAAAGAAATTATAGAAATGAATGAACACAACATTTTTGCTTTCACATCAGCACATAGCAATGTGAGAACTGTTGTGCTTCTTTTTTTTTTTTTTGTTTTTTCTGGATTGAGCTATATAGGATCCCGTTGTAATTTACTTTTCCATAAATCTGAATCTACATAATTATTTCTATTAATTGTACAACATGAAAAAAAAAAAAAATAGAGAAATGGGAATTAAGTCAAAATAAATTATGTTACAACTAAAAGGAAATTATGTCAAAAAGAAAAAAGAAGTAATATTCACAGAAGATAAATTATTTTGAGCTTTAGAACAGGTAACGTCATTTTAAAATGTGAACAATGTGTGGGGGATTGAGTTGTTGGGTTTTAGATGGAAAATGTTTCTTTTGTAATGAACCATTACATATATAGGAGTATATGCGCAACTTACGGTTTTATTGCCTTTGTATACGCTCCGCATAATGCGCTGATGATATAAAATACTAGGTGCCTTAGTCAATCGTTTGGAATGAGAATGCGCTCAATCACATTATTTTATAACGCACATGCAACAAAATTTGTGCTGCATGTATATGTTATCACTACCACATAAAGTTTAGCTCTAGCTTATGAAGGTTTGTGTATGGCGTATTTTTGTACTTATGTAAAGGGACAAGGTTGCATATTATAGTAAAATAATTTTCACGTATGACTCCCCCATCGCCCTCAGAAGGAGTAACAAAACAAAAAAGAAAAAAGTAGAGAAATGCAAACCCAATTTGTTTAGAATGACGAACCTTTTGAAAAAAAAAAAAAAAA